TGCCGCTGTTTAATGAGTCACAACTTAATTTGATGACGTGACTTTTGGTGCGCGTATGATGCTGCTGCTGCTGCTGCTACTCTTCAATCTCTGACGTATTGTTCAATTAATCAAATTAAATCTACCTATTTAAGTACACATGCTTATTGTACAGTTGCTCTATTGCAATATAAGGACTTTTATATAACTAAAATAAAAGGCAAAAGGTAGGTAGCTTAACCCAGCTTCGCGTAACAGTAAGCTATTAGCACCTCTATCTTTGTTTCGTCTGTAGGTATTGGGTCTCGTAAAGACAATTGTGGCTACAGCCAACCGAAAACGTAAAAAGTGCAGGGGTATGGGGATCGAGAGAAGTCTCAAGTCTGCTTCAAGACCAGCATTGTCTATCTAAGTTGGCCAACGAAACGGTTCTGAGGGAAACTAGCAGCCTATAGTCGCGAGGTGTTTTGTTGTCAGCGTTGTAACTCCGCTGCGGTGAAGTTAGGCTGTGGCTTCGCTTTCATCGCATCGGAATTGGATTAGCAGAACAGGAGAAGCAAGGGGGAACGTCTCCTGGCCAACGAAGACGACTGACTAGTGAGTAAGAGAAAAGGGAGATAGAAGAAGAGAACGGGAGGCTAAGGTTGTTTTGCCCTCTTTTCTCTCACTAAAGAGAGGCGCCACTCTCGTGCAAACGAACTTTGCTCACTCGGAAAGACTTGACGCGGACGCCGACAAGGATCAGCAGAGGTGGCAGCGGCGGCGGCGGCCGCCGCCAGTAGCTGTTGTGTGGCTGTCTGCGTCGGGGCAAGCAACGTAGCAAGTGGATGAGGCACAAGGAAAGCGAGGGTTACGAACGAGAGGCAATGGCGACGAAATGCTGCTGCTGCTGCTGCTGCTGCCGCTACTGTTCCTTCTGTTGGGAGAATCGAAAGCTCACATCCTAACACACGTCGATCAGGATACAGAGACCTAGTGGTATACGAAGGAAATAACTAGTCACTCACACGGACACACGGGTCGAAGGAAAACTTCGTACTACTGCCACGTCGACCGAAGGCTTCTTCGTTCCAGCTTCAGAGGAAAAGACTTTCGCTCGATCTAGACCTATGCTATATTCTCCTATCGTCGTCGTATCCTTTCCCGCTATGTTGTATCGTAAGAAACCACAGCTAGCATTAATGTTAGGATTCGTTTCGCCACTTCGGCGAGCGCCGCCGTTGCTGCTGATCTGGATGCTGACGGGCTAAGAGAATCAAAAGCTGAGCCACAGCAGGAGAGGGCTTAGCCTTCCATAGAGATACTTTGTAGCGTCGTACCTGTTACAAGTTCCACGGTGTTGCTACCTTATCTGCCTAGCCCATAGGTTCCTGTTTTGTTGCACGCTCCCTCTTTAATTCTGCTTCTCATTTCTACTTGTCTTTTTCGTTTTCCTTTTCAGTTCGAAAACTTCGTCGTACTTTGAAGAAGTGAGGGTGCGGCGCCAAAAAAGTTCAGTAGGGCGGCACACCTTTCTGCACTTTGCCTTGATTTCGTCGACAACTAAAATGAGTTATGATGATGCCCATGTAAGATCGGTTTGTATGGAGCTTTACGTTCCCGGCTACCTTAACTTCTAATTCTGATAGAACGCGATAAAAGACATGCAGGTTCTGTTGCAAGAGATGCGTCAAAGAAGGTCGCGCACCGGATCACGGATGAAAAGCACAGCATGATCCTTATTGTTATACCCTCAACACAGTGGCTAGCTCAAATAATTATTGTTTGTTTCGTGTAACCCTCCTGTCCTCTCAGAAACAACGGAGCAGGCTAAACCTTGTAATCAGCATCAAAGAGTAAGCGATGAAAAGCGAATTATAAGATCCTTTTCTTTTGGCATCTTCCACATGCGACACCAATTCTGCTTGTCAACCCCAAGCACTTATTCCTCTCCAAACTGATCCCAACTCTGAATGAAGACGATATCAGTCATTGGCAGCCGTAAGAACGTGAACAAGACAATGAATCGATAAAGACCAAGACGTTTTTGTTGCGGTTGTCAACCGTTGGGCCAGAATTTGTATCCCTCGCGGCTCTGGCTCGTTCGCTTCTCGCCACAGCGCACAACCACCACCGGCGTATTTAATCCAATTGTTTACTTTGATATCAATCTTGCAATGTCTTTATGCTAAAATACCGGGGCATCTATAGATGGCCTCGTGGCCGGCAGGCGGAGGGCGTCCGCATTCCGTAATTGAGTTTGGCTGCCCTTGTGCACATATGCTGAGCATGCATCAGTGGTCGCCTGTTTCGGTCGCTTTAACAGCGCTCAACTGAACGGAAAAACGAGTTGCAATGTTCTGATGATGTTTCTCCGTTGGGATATTTCTTCGTTCGGGATCCGTTGTGATCCAGATGCCGAAAGCAGTATATGGTCAGTGATTGCCCGGTGGCACGACAATATGAGGAGCGTGACGATAGCAAGCTATGGCCTTATATACGGCCATGTTGGAAGTTCACAAAGTCACGGTGCAATACCGTGTTGTTGCAAAGACGGTAGCTCGAGTTATTGTCCTTGTTGCTTTCTGTTGGCAGCATTTCGAGCTGCACACTCGTTTGCGCATGCACATATAGATGGAGTAACAGAAGAGCCTTGGAAACAATTCCCTGGGCCGCAGGCACATGGACACCTCATGCTATTGATTTTATGGCAGTAAATATTTAGCGACTCCATAGTGGCCCGCGGTAGCAAAACGACGAGCGCACTAGATGGAAGTCCTCTTGTATGCCCAATGTAGAGCATGACAGCGAAGGAGGGTACGTTGAGGAGGGAGAGTCTTCCTTTGAAGAAACAACCGTTTGCCTATTATCGCTATACTGACTGGCCGTTTGATCGTGACTACCGCGAGTCTTCACAAGACACGTGCGAATCAATAACCAGCAACATATGGCAGATTGCGGAATGGTCGAATGTTTGAAGACTATTACAGCCGCTGCTGCTGATACGCCGTTATCTCGGGTTGTATTCAACAAATTACCAGCGTGAATGGAACGAGTCTACTATATTGCAGTGGGCTGAGTCGTAGGGTTATGTACTTTTTAGTCTACGCCTCAGAGAAGCCCGGTATATCCCGATAGTCACAGTTGCGTTTGGCCAAACAAATAGATGAACATGTAGATGGGACCGGATCATAATTTTCATCGCGTCGCGGGCAAAGGCGTGCCACAACGAGGGCAGGAACGCGACTCAACGAAGAATGCACCGGCTGCCCAAGATAGAAGAATGCGGTGTATCTGCACTATTGCTATGGGAGCGCAGCGCGCTCAGTGGAACGACTTATGCTTGGGTCAAGAAGGGCGCGCCGACGGCAAGTCTCTGGTCTTTTAGAATGGAATGGCATACATAACTCAAGGTTAAAATAGACAGTAGTTTGGTAACTGGGGCTAGCTGTCGTATCCGACGCCACTTATTCTCGGGCAAACACGGATCTGGACGCAGATGTAAGCAGCGGATAAACACATGCAATACTGTGACGATTAATGCAAAAATGAGGGGCTTTCGGTAAGCGCTGCAGTTCAAGGGCCACCCTAGTGGATGTAACGCACAGATTAACATCGCAATACAACCCCTTACTGGAATCTATCGTTCTTTTGGGTGTATTGCTGCTTGAATGTCAAATCTCTTCCAAGCTAGGTAGCGACTGCAGTATTCTACGTACTGTACGTATATACAACATACGACCATCTCCTCACAGTATGCCTGTACCATTAGCCTCCATCGGATGTCCATGAGCCTTCGAACTCGACCGTAACTTAGTGATTTTGGTTTTCCCCTCCACAAACTTTCCTTCTATCGCCAAACCCGTTCTTGTCCCATTAGACCCCTGTTGGCTTCTCGTCGCCCGCTGTGTTTCGAAACGTCAAATCACTAAAGTCATCACGAGATGGATGAAGACTCTGATTGCGGCCAATGGAACGAGATCATCCGCTTCGCTTCCTTATTCCTCCACAACGTTTATCAGTGAGTACACCGCTAGACCCTGGAAGCAGCTGATTCAACTCTCCCTGAAGTGAATATACATACAAACCTCACAAAAGCTAGGCAATATGGACCAATGTTACATATGGCTATATATGATGATGCAACTTGTGGACTGACAAAGGCGAGCACTTAATATATCAATTACAATACGTATATTTGTACACGCTGCGAATTTAGCAAAGTAAAAAGGTATCCATACAACTATATTCATTCAGTCGACAAGCAGAAGGACTAGTGACTGGTCGATTTTCTATATATATATATACACATTTTTTTTCAAACATATTTAGATCTGTTTCTTGTTTCGGGTCATTCACATACACAAGAACGATATTAAGATAGTGTCGAAGAGGAGAGAAAAATATATTATGGATTCATAGTTACATTAAATCTTTTCTCTGTCTCGAAATATTTGAATGAACAGTCAAAAACCTCGTTCTCTTTCGAAAAATTGCAAAACATTTTCTGCAAACGACCATTCTACCTGAATAAGAGAAAAAAAAACTTTAGATATCGTGAACATTTTCCACTAAAGCTTTTGTTTTTTTGAGCTATATTCATGTTTTGAAATTTTTCTAAATTCTGTACTTTTCGTCAGCTTTTAGGAAAAATTCCAGATGTTTAATCTTGCAGGTAGGTCTTCTATATAGTGTGTGTACTTTGAGGGTAAATTGTTCATTCTAACGCTAATGAACTCACTGTGTTAAGCATTATTTAAAACATAGCTCTCACAACTGGCGAGTCTTCGAAAGCGGAGGTTCGACGCCGGCTAGCAGGTGTGTTGAAACCACTAATTATGTCGCCTTTACGTTACAGTTCGTTCAATATTTATCGGCCATTGTTATCGGTCGGCGCAATACTGCCGAGATAGCCGTCAATCACAATCGGAATGGTGAAATACTACCCCGAGATATTGCGGTGAAGCACAGTCTGCCCGTGCTGTCGGTGTGTCGTCATAACAATGTATGGCAGGCCAGTTGGGCAGGAAGGCATTCCCGCCGAAAAACAGTGATTGGACAAGCAGTCATGCTGCACGGTAAGTCCAGAGTTATCTATTGTCCGTCGACACTGTGAAACGTCAGTCATTACAGGAGGAGGCCGACAATCGCAGCTCTGACTGACCGTTCCATCACCCGTTGGCCGCTTGCTCCTCGCGTGATCGCTGCTCAAGGCTGGTTCGATTGCCGCGGTCTTCTTCAGAATAGATACGGATCAGAGACGGCATGATTCTCGGCAAAACCACTGTATCTAGATGGCCCTCGAGGCTGTTTTTGGCCAGCGTTTTTCTAGCGGCCATAGCCTTACATCCCTGCACAATGTTTCTAATTCCGCCAGGTCAAACAGAGTTTGTCTTGTTGGGTGGACCTGACGATCCTACATCTCTATACCCGGGAGACGCCACCGCGTTTCGGTTAATGATGCCAAGTCAAAAGGAACGCGATCCCAACCATTGCGAGCCATATGAGGTGATGGTCATCGAAGACGATGACTGTCATATCTATTGTGAAGTCAACGGAAAGATTGGCAATCTCGAGATTCGCGATCCCGGCCATCGAACGTTGCAAGCATGTAAAACTATTAACAATGGATGCAATTCGTGTATGCGGCAGTTCGACGAGAACCAGGGTTCAATGAAAATTTTTGGTCGGTGCGGACCTGGCTGCGTCTGTCAGCCAATGGCTAGCTACACGCACCATCTACAAGACAAACGAGAGTGTGAAAAAGCTACTAACCATAGTAATTTTGAAGCACTCACACGAAAAATTGACAAAAAGGAACGTATACATTTCCAAGTTATTATCCCCCCTATCGGAAGTCGTAACAAGAAAAGATGTGAAGACTATGAGACTCCGATGACCAGGGAAGAATTGCTGACATCTGGCCAATGCAGGTTAGTGATATTTGCAAAAAAGGAGATTATCTAGTCCAGATTTTAGGAAAGCCATCTAAAACACTTGGAAGAACACGTACAAGGCATAGGGTTTTTGAGGAATTATTGAATGAATAAATCAGCCTGCCTCAGGGTTTGTTATTATATAGATTTTTTTTTTTGTTTAATAGTATATTTCACTTATGTTATGTTGACTACATAGTCAGAATGATTTGCTATACCGAGGTTATGTTTATAGTGACCAGTGCCCACCGAGGTGTGGTTCTTCAAAACACTAATAGTACCTTGTTTGGTATCTTTAGAATCAGTCAGTTTTGTACGTCGTAAAACCATTACATTGCAATATTGAGCAGAGCTTTGTTTTCGTTCAGTCAAAGATCTGCAGGACTTCAATTAAAAAATGACTCGTTTTCTATTAGGGGAACGTGTCGGCCTTCAGTCGACTTCTCAGTGAAGTATGTGAAACAAGGCTGCCGAGAGGGCCGAAGCCGAAAGCCGTCTTGTCGCCCCGTTTTAAGTCGTTATTTCGATAATCCGGCCACAGATTGACATTTAATAGCGTTGCATGAATTAAAAACGGACTCCAGTGTTGGACCAGACGTAATATTAGTATAAATTTTAGACAAAGGGCAAACGGGACCTTTTCTGAAATTGCTTTGTAGATCTTATCAATAATACGCACATTTGTTTTTTGCTAACGGTCTCACTTTGTGTTGCACATGGTGTTGTTGAAATAATTCGTGGCTACTGAACTTATAGCATGCCCCAGATCTAAACGCAAGCGTGAACTATGAAGGTAGAAGTTAGCACATTTCTGGTACTCCCAAAAAGTATATGACTGGTTACTGGGCTGTTATCTATACATGTTATCACTGCCGGAAAAAAAAACTTACTCATAAATGCTAACTTGTATTATTTTTTTTCGAGGCTATTGGGGTTGGATTTCAAGCAGACACTCGACTTAGAAAGGCTAGAATGAAACCAGTCGTCGCGTAATATTAATAAAACAAGTAGTTCATATTATTATCATATTGAATAGTGTATCCTATTGTGATCCACCCTTCATTTAATATTCATATACGAAAAGTCATGCTTAAAACTGTCTATATTTGTGATTTTGCCAGTACGCGCACTATTCTACAACTATTTTTGTCTGTACCAATTTTGGTTGACGCACTGCAGGCAAATGTGTAAGATCGAAGGCCTATTCGGCCTCGTCAGGATTCGAGGTAGCCACCGCGTCATCGACGCACTCCCAAACCGCTTTCCTGAGCGCTGCCAGCTTCCGATCCTTCAGGGAAATAGCATTCTATTGCCGGACTTTGCTGTCGCGTCTGTTCACGGTCTCTGCGACAACTTCGGTAATTGCGTTAAGGATGAGATTTACATGAATTGACTCGTTTCAACCTCAGGTCTACCTTAATTCTGTTAGGCTCTAAAAAACTGCACTGACCAAACTTACTGGACATTTTGTGTATGAAGTATACTGTAAAAACTCAGGGATTTTATGTTCGATGCAATTAAGCAAGACTAGAGTTACGCTCGAAAGGCGATTTAGGTAAGAAAGGTTGGAATCGGAACGTTTTGCCCAAGAAGCCTCCTCTTCATTGGCCCACCTAGTACATATGACAATTTAGTATCAGTTGGTAGCTGTGCAACGTCCCCGACCTTCCGTGAGCTGCGTTACGTTCGGTCTAGAGTACATAACCTATTGTTTCGTCCCTGTTACACAAACATAGCTTGACTTGATCAGTTAGTGAACATCGACAAGTTGTACCTGTTGACAAATTCATAGTTAAGCAACAAACGCATGTAAATAATATGTTCTTAACAACAATGTTAATTTCATGCACGTGTTTATTTTTTTTTTTCACACATCGGATATGTTTTGGGATTGGGTCGATGCTGTGTGTACGTCGCCAGACTATTTATGGAGCAAAATTGAATAAAATTGAATTTTATTTTCGTCAAAAGCTGCCCGTTTACTTGCTTTTATGATCTGTACTATATATATTGGTAACAGAGCGGACCAGCAGAGCTAATTCTAAGCAGTAACAGTTACGAAATCTTAAAGAATACGTGTGGTAAAAACTTTTCGACAGACTGTCGTCGTTGGTTATGCATTGATTTCTCCTATTCATTATGCCAGTTCTAAGTACTTATTTTCAGTTTATCCTTCATGCTGTGAAGCCTGATGTGTTATGTCTGGAATCAGATAGCTTAGTTAATACTGCACAACGACATAAATGACAAACCTAGGGATATAATGAACACATCCAGCACAGATGTGCTACAAGTAGTCAATCATACTTCCGAAACGAAGAAACTTCAGCATCACATTTGAGGCTCGACTGTTATAGATTGTCGTAAGAATATCGCTTTTAAATCGCACATTCCCTTCAGAGACATTTGCCTGATTCAGGCGTTTCGAGATTGAAACATCGGCGGTAGACGCAGCAGCAGCCAATCGGATGTTAGCAGATAACTTCCTTTTCTTGAAATCCACAAGTAATTGCCTCACATGGAGTATAACTGCACGGCAGAAATAGCTGAGAGACAACAGTATTTTAGGGCTGGAGCGGCGTTTCTGCTTGCCACGAAGCTACTATGGCTGTTCTGAGATGTGGGGACGAACGACACCGTCGAACAGCAAATACCGCTAGAGCAGCTGCGACGACGGGCGCAATTGCAACGACCGAGAGCCGGGCTACGGCAGGAACAGCAATAAGATCAGGAATTAGTCCTGCTTTCAGCTTCTTTTCCCCATCGCGTACGATAGAATCCACCCCGCTCTACGTCACACTCGACCCGCGGGGCAGACGGGAAATCGAACAGGCTGAAGCAGGCCCATAAAGCAGGCAGCATGATCCAGGACTGTGGACCATAGCAATAGTGGTAATGGTGGTTAGGCCGCTAAAATTGGACGGTATCATCAGGAAAACGGGGTTCAGTTTTGGGCCTTCGAAAAATCTCGCATGCAACGCCAAGAACGGCGAACTCATTGCGCGACCGCTGCGTCTAGATCATTGGGAAGGCTCCTGACTGTTACACCATCCTCACCCTCGAACGCCCCTACGAACCTCACTGCGCCTTACAGATCGTAGAAGCGAAGACCTCGAGGTGCGCAACCTCCCCATTTGAAGGCACCGCAGGAGAGAGAGAAAGAGAGTTATATACGTATAGTAGAGAGTAACTCTGTATGCCATGAAGAAATAATTAAGAATCAATTAGCCCTCATTAACATTAGGTTAGACCGATTAGGAATCACGGGGGAGCAGAGGCAAGGACTTACCAGGAGGTAAGGTGAGGGAGTAGTCGGTTGCGTCTCGTGGAGCTGCTGTAGGTGCTAGGTGGTTACTAGCATCATGGCTTCGGAAAACCAAAGCGAACAGGGAGATGTGCGCTCTCTGCGGCGACAGGTTGGGCCTGCGGAAAGTGGAGCGAACCGACAACAGGCACACGATGGCTAGTCTACAGTACGGCCATTTGAACATGTACGGGGGTGTTAGTGCCTTACAAGCAGGCACCTTATACTATAGAAATGACAGCACAAGGAGGAAGTCTTGGGCCTTTATCAACGCGCTGGCCGGTTTCCGCGTATTGGTTCACTTATTCCGAAACAAAAAGCATATTGAAGCAAAAATTAGTTGGCAAGTTTTGTCGTACGACTAATCACTTATTCTATTTAAAAATCAGTCATAGATCAGGTTTGTATAAGATTCGTCTGCTTATTTTTATATAAAACAACATGCATCGCAGAGCTTGATCCCCAATAGGCTCACCGAATGAGCATAACAATAGCAAAGTAAACGTAGGATTCTTATTCGAAGCTTAATTAGAATTGGCTTTTTCAATGTTTTTTCGTTCTCCGTGTAAGCTAACTTCACACGTCAAACTCAAATACGTTCCACTTACTCTATTTATGCAGGATTATATTTAAACGGCCTCGAAATCGCTGCATCCTTCCTTAGAGCCGAAGCCGGTTGATGATCTTCCCAGGATTCGACAGCATCGATGGCTATGACCTGCCGGCTGCCGTGTTCATTGTAATAGAAGAGACTATCGTCGCCACCGACTACACCAGCCCTAGCAAGCTATAGCCTACGCGATAGCCCGTTTACCCACCATCACTCCCATACCCCGTCGTAACCCCTTTGCTTACAAGCAGCGTAGTAGCATTTAGCTCGCACTACCCGTCGGTATCCGCACATCTGATACGACATACAGATACTTTTCAGTCACTTCACGACGTTCGCCCGTAGACCAAACTGCCTATAGAGTTCGGCCAACTGCCCTCTCGTTCGCCGACCCGCCTTACCCGATAAATGGAGTAAAATTGATCAGAACGCCTCGATCTCATCATCGGCATGAATCATCTCGTTGTAGCGATTCACCTCCGACGGATTGGCTGACTCGCCTGAGAATGGCTCCATTCCGAAAGCTGGATGAATCCCCATGTCCATGCAAGGACTAAGGGGGGGGGGGCACTCGTAGGGAATAGAGCAAGAGAAAGCGAGAAAAAGGACGCCGGCGACAGACAAAACGAAAGAAGAAATGGGAAGAGCAAAAATTAGAAGGAGCAGCTATTATAGCGGCGACAGCAGCACGAGCGCTTCGTGCTTACCTTTAGTGGGAAACGACACTGGCACCAGTGGTCCTGATCCTGGTGCTGCTATAGCCACCGGCGAAGTCACAGAAGCTAGTGCTGCCGCTGGTAACGGCAGCAGCACATTAGCCAGTCAATGTCGTCCCTCATTTATGCCAATGCTGCTGCGAATGCTAGCACGGCTCCACCAGGTTACTCAACAAAGGTTTCATTTAGCCCTGCATGACTTCGCCCACCTGCCCCATTTCTGTTCCCTAGCTGTCGTGTCCCCAAGCCCCGGCTATTTCCACTACCAGATTCTTCCGATGATACCCCTCTGGACCCCGCTGGAGCCAATCCTTGCCTCATTCCAACCCTTGGCTTCCTGTCCTTCATGCCACGATGAAGCGCCCCACAGCTACCGCAGCTCCTGCCACCACTACCATCACCCTAGGGGCCGTAGGGCAGCAGTCTACGGCTGCAGAGCACAGGGAGCGGAGTCGGGGGCAAGAGGCAGAGCCCCGCTGGTCCATCCAATTAGTTGAATAACGAAGGTGGTGGTTGCCGCGGTGGCTGCTGCTTCTGCAGCGAGCGAACGAGCGATCGCGCGAGCACTGAGCAAGCGGGCACCTCCCTGCTACCGCCGCTTAATCGTGTTTTGTCTCTGTTAATGCTCTTCATCATTCTATGAAGAGTGGCCTTTTGGGAAAAGAGACTGAGCAAAGGCCCGGCTATGCTTATAGTCGTGGAGGGCGATTGAGAGGAGGAGCTCAAAGGAACGAGATAGAGGGCGCTAGGAGGACATATGAAATTGGGTCGCCGTATGCGCGTTCGCAGCATAGTTTCGTTCGCGCTTGTTGTTAGTGAAGCCTTTGGCAGGTCAGCGACAAGAATTACAGAAGAAAGAAGTCTGTTAAAGTTCTTCCTAAGAAGAACCGTCTTAGAAGATCATGTGACCCCTGCGATTGAATGGCACAAGTTGAGATACATCCTAAAGAATATCATCTATTGCAGAAATTGCGGCGAACAAGGCCCGGGGTAAGGTGGTGGTGTACTAGATGAAATGAAACAAAGAATATTGCTCCATAATGATATCTATTATTTAAAGTGTGAGTCATTAAATGACGTGCGTAATGGAAACCGTTACTGAGAATTAGAGCATTATGCTCTAATCTCGAAAGCCATAGGTACCCTTAGCGTTGTATGTATTTCGAATTGCGTTTCTACTCAATGTGCAAATGGATTACATTATATGCAAGCTATGAACGGAACTTCATAAATCTCTGTTTACAGCGTCCTAGAATTGCTTGTGACGTTAAGACGGTGGATTTGTTTCAGTCAAGATAAATCTCTTGAAAACATTTCAGGCGGTTATTCAAGTAGCCAAGCTACCATGACGAGAACGAATTGGAATTCCATTATCCAGTGCCCACAGGCGCCGCAGTGTGGCTCGTATCGAATGGACAACAATGTCTTACTGTCGACAGCTGTCTTTTCTTGAAACTTTGCCCAAAGCCGCTCCCACAACCAGCCCTTGACTGCGTATACGCCATTTTCTATCTATCACTACTGTGACGTACTACTACTGCCTCTGCGACTTTTATAGACAAGTGGTCTTTTGTCGATTACTTCTCAACAAGTTATTACTGATGTTCTGCTTTCCAACTGCTGAAATCGAATCAAATCGAGAGCGCGCGTCGGTTTCTCTCAGCAGATAGTGTCAGTCGCGCAGTATTCGTCCACCGCTAAAAACGCCATTGCCGAGGCGAGGTTGGCATCTACGAGCTCATCTCAATTTGTGAGCAGATGTTGAGAATTATTCCCGACCGCCGTTCGGCCGTCTACCACACCGACTTCCGACAACTCAAACAGGGAGCTCATCATTTTTTCTTCGTGTGCTCAGCTATTTTCCTTCTTGGATTCTCACCTTCCCCCCCCCCCCTCGTATCTCGACTCTGCTTACTAGCCTGTTTGTGTCTGTGTGTGCGTGTGTGCAAATAAGGGAATAAGAGAAACTGAGGGGACGAAAGGTAGAGTAAGTTCACTGCAGTACAGACAGATCTTGCGTTCATTCGTTACTTTTCCCGCACCGTAACGCTGAGGTACACTTGTACCCCGAACTTCGACACTCTGGAACATCGACCCTAGTTCCTTCCTATACTGCCTCAAGTCAAGATCTCCTTTGCATGCACAGGATTTTCTTGAAAGGAGGGAGATTGTCATCGTTATGCCAGATTTCAGCATTGTGTCTAGGTTGGGCTTTTTGAGCATGGAGTAATTTTGTGTAACTGATTAGGCCTCATGAGCAGTTGC